CAAATTGTGCTGACGTTGAGCATATATGTACTGTTGAATATTATTATATCCGAAATTATCTCCAGACGTTTCATGTCTGTAAAATACTAAAACTGAGGTTAGTGCATTGTATTGACATTACAGAATGCAAAGCAACGTCATTTTGATGAATATCTGAAAATATATTTGCATTTGAAAAGTGTGATTGTGATATTTTGATCTAGTAAAATAAAATTTCAGATGATTTATACTTGATGGTTTTAGCATGCAATGATAACAATTCGTGCTGTAAAACATGTAATTTCTGAACATTGTTGTCGATTTTAAACACAATATAGCTTTTTGTATGTATATTTAAAGCAGTAAGAATGAACAGGTAAAAGATTCATGTCCATATTTGTTTGTTCATGATTTTTGTTTTGTCGGGGTCTGTTTTTCGATGTTGTTTTTTGTTTTGTTTTGTTTTTTTCTGTTTTGGAAGGGGTGTTGTTTTGTTTGCTTTGTTTTTATTTGTTTGTGGTTTTTGTAGGGAAGCTTATTGTGATAAAAAACAAAGGATGCTGAATTGCCGTATGGTGAACAATATTTGACGTACACAAGACGGCAATCCGTGATAGTTATCCAGAATTATATTGTCAGGGATGGTTGGGTCGCACACCAGTAAATAGGCCACTTAGATTATCCTTACAACTTAATGTGTCAGTGTGTATTTGCGCAATTAATTTTGTTAATAAGATTAATCATTAAATAAAAAGGAACGATATTCACAAGATTTACGCACAAGAATATTGATGACAATACGATTCACACACACTTACAGAAGTACAGATCTACATACAATTGATATTTGAGGACACAGTAGTAGGGTGCCGAAACAGGCTAACCTCGGGTGTCACAAATTTATATTAACACAAGGAGTCAAAACCACAACACCTGAGTGAGTGATGCATAGACCAGTTATTTGAACCAATTCAGCCGCCTCTTTCGATCACACAGGAATAAACAAAAACTGCATTTATGATGCCTCTAACCTTAAAGTCAACCCCTCAGCCACAGGGGAGGTGGGGGACTTAAATGTTTGTGTTTATTAATGTGGCCAGTATACTTCAAAGAATTCTGAACAATTGCATATCAGAGTCGCATAACAAGATATTGATATGATAACATGTGTTTATTTTTCTATGTTTTGTCTTTGAGTATGAATTTCAATTAAATTTCAATGCCTTCGATGGATCATTTTTTCCAGATATTAAGTTATATCTTAGTTCTTGCCGATTTGCTTATTGATTTACAGTGAAATCTGTTATTACTGGTGTACAACCATTTTAAAAAAAATTATCATTTAAAAAGGCATCTTGTACAAGAAAGAGTATTGCAAAACCTTCAGTAATGATTTAAATTTGTAAACCAAATTACTGCTCGCAATTTTATACGCACTCTACGTTAATAGTGGATAGTAGATAAATATTTTACAATCAGTATTCAACATGTGTCCTGAAAACTGCGTTATATTAGTGAGCAGATATTTTTACGATAGCATCACACTTTTCTTTTTCTTGCATTAATCCTTACAACTGTTATTTTTTGCATCATTTTGCGAATTGAATACAAACATTATCCTATTTGATATCAAGAAAATAAAGGTAGTAAGAAAGTAATATATATGTGTATCGTCCATTGATAGCCAAAAGGGCTTATCAGCACTTCTTCAAGTTTTGAGAAAAAGACGATTTAAGATTCAAGGCTCAATATTAATACTGGTTAAATGACCTTAGTTATTGAATCTGTATATTAAATTAGAATTATATGCAAATAATTTGCTCTGGAATTACTAAGTTCATGCAATAAATATGATTGCCGTATTTGGCAGCATTTGCTGATGAGCCCTTTTGGCTGCCAAATTTAACCCACCATTTTAGGGTAAAAAGACTTATCAGTATATAAAAGAGACTGATACGTTGTATTTTAACTATTTAATTCATTTCAATCACCAATAATAAGTATTTTATATATTTGTTGACTGTTTGATTGTCTCTTATAGTCAGAGTTTAAGTGTTTGTATCGTCGTCCGTATCAACGTCTTCTTCAAAAATGTCTGAGCATGGCAGTCTGTCCTTAATGGCTGATTTACTTGGAATATTATTCCGGCATATTCTAATTTCATTTCTGATTTAAGGTTATTTAAGATTATGTAATTGCAAAATAATGTAATTTCATTATGGATTTTAATAAACTCTCCATAAAAATCGAAATACTTCTGATTCAAGCTTTGTATACACAAGTTTAGTACTCAGTGATGGATATGTAAAAACAAACGGTAAACCTATTCAAGACCTATTCAAGACATTTTAAAGTGTTACTGTAATTTGCGATTAAGGATTCTCATTAATCATGACCTTTTTGATCTTTCTTTTAACTCATTTATGCCCTATTTAAATGAATAGATGATGAAAGTCCTTAAGTTGTTTATAAAGTTTTAGAAAACGATCAAGGTTGCAAACTTGTTCTAGCAATTACTACAATTATAGGGCAAAATATCAGGTGTTTTTGAGGCCAGTTATCCTTGTAACCTAAAGTGCCATCATCCATTTTAGTCTACCGTTTTAGCCTAATTGACTTTTGTGAGGTAGCATTTTCCTCACAGCTTGAAATCTCAATTTAATTTGTGCCAAAAATATATGTACATAAAATACTGCTATGACAAGTTTATGTTAGAGATGCTAACTTAAGGTGTGTGCCGATTTATCAATTCAAATGAAAAGAACAAAGAAACAACTAAAAACCGGTATTTATTCTGTATGCAGCGGACACTTATTAACTATTTATACTCGACGGAGATGTCTCCTGTACACGACGTGGGATTTGTTTTCGTCAATGTTTCATTGAAAGGGTATTATGTATAGACAAATTTAATGTGAACATGGTAAGTGGCAAATATTGAACCCAAAGATACATCACTAACGTAGACATTGGACTCGTCTATAAGTATATGATAATCTTTTATATTTACCCGTCTTTTGGATTCTTTTCATATACACACAGTGCAGCTTAATAATTATTCATAAATAATGCAATTAACAACATCAATGTATCATAAAATACTGGAAAATTTCAATTTCCGCATTATGGTTATATTAAAATGAAATCTGTTGAAGTGATATTCAGGTATTACAATTTTGTAATTGATCAATTAAATTGTCCATAACTTTAAGTCAAGAAAAAGATTAGTTTTATCTGAATACAATGAATTCAAACGTTTTATGTCAAGTAGTGTGCAAGTATAACCTAATAAAACATACATGGAACAACATAATTAAGTATTTTGATTGATGCTTCAGTCTCTCAAATATATCCATGTGAAGTCTATTTTTTTAATTCCAACACGTTTTCTTTTTCACTACGTGCATCAATCATTGTAATACTTATTATAAGTCTCTATTGTTTTAAAGCAAAATGTTAAAATAAAAATAAGAATAAGGTGAATATGCATTTATTATTTTATTATGTTGTCAGAACATTTTTTCCTGGTCTTTGATATTTTGAGAATACGACAAACATATAAACAGCATATCAATCATTCTTATCAGGTAATCTTTAAAATGTATTTTGAAGCTTCTAAAACAAAAGCAGCGCTTGAATCTCCATGGGATTTGAATTTCCATTATTTACATTATCAGTATTCGTATTGTGCTCTAAGCATTGAATGTCGTGATAAACTTTTTTAGTAAACGTTATTTACATGTGACAAAAAATCAATTAATAGTCAATGGTTACGTATTTTGATTCTATAGGGAAAGCAAGTTTGCGATATATTTTAAGATAAAGCATCTATGATAGATTACACGACTCTCGCGTGAATAGTTAAATTAAGATTTTCTGTCGACACTTTACAAGGAAATGGGATAAGAAATTTATAAAAAAATATATATATATGATATGTATTCGTCTTGCATAATTAAAGATTTAATTATTGGATTTATTGGATATATATGTATATCTGATCAGTTTTATTGATCTAAGTTCTTAAAAATCATAAGCATTTTGAAGGTTTCGTTTTGACTATGTAGTGTCAACGGAATATACTTTTATTTCTGTTAAAGAACATCATATTATATGTTATATTTATGCGTCAATAATATGTTATTTGCTTCGCTGAGATAGTGTTTGTTATCCAAACGACATGCTATCTTACATTAAACCTGTTCGCAGACATCAAAGCTTCACAATTAACAGTGCTAATTATTTTCTTTCTCAGTGCTGGCTAATTTAATTTAAACAGTGTCTTGTTTTATTTCCTGTAAACAACGTAATGTGCATTTTTTCTTTGATTGTATCATGATTTTTTACCTGCCTTACTTCTTACAACTGTTCAGTTATTTTTTATCATATTGGGAAATATATACAACAATTGTATCATAGTTTGGGGATTTTTCTGTTGAAAACGTGTCAGAGATAAATCGTATACCAAGTAGGGCACGTGTGTTAAGTGAAGGGGTGTGGCTTAATTTTCAGCATAGTAGAGTGCGGTAACTGGAGTGCGGGTATTAGTTACCCGCACTCCAGTTACCGCACTGCCCGTTTGAGGCCCAAACAGAAGCAAATAAAAAGAATATGAACTTTATTGAACTTTATTAACATACATCAACACGTTTTTTATGTTTTAAATTCTTAATTTTCTTAATTTTAATTTTTAACTTCTTAAATTGTTATTATAGCGGGATGTCTCAAAAGTTAAAAGTGCATCCTGAGAAATTAACTATTCCTGACTGTTTTGTTAGATCTGTCAGAGCATCGCGTCTTTTCTCAATGTTATTTGAAAAAAAAGTAGTTTCAGACTTATCTGATGTTGTTTTACAAGAATTTTCATTTTTCTCATATTTAAGCATTTTTGAGACATGGAGATCAGTATCTTCCTTATAAGGATTAAGCACATTAGATACCATTTTTCGAACTTGATCAGATGACTGTTTATATTTCCGCACTGCAGTTACTGACCTATGGCCAGTTCTGTCCATAATTTCCTACTCATCAATTCCTGTAGTATACATAGTTGTTGCACACGTGCGTTTTCCACTATGATTAGTAAAACTTCCCTGTAATGACCCCTTTTCAGCTATTTCCTTCATGAATTTGTTGAGTGTATTTATACCAACAGGCTGGTACCCGTATCTTATAGTTCCACTCTGTGTTGACGGCAGCGGTCGTCTATAAAAATCTCCATCGTTTCCAAGGGCATTCAAATAAGTCTCCAAATGAGTCGCCATACATCGTTGACCTGTGAATTCAAACAACACGCATTAACAATAGAGTGAAATAAGAAAAACATTGTTATTTTTTTACTTATTTTATTTTATTTATGAATAAGATTTTGCACACTAAAACAAATTGTCGTCTGCCCTACAGTATGTGACGTCTGCTCTAAGTGATGTAAATATAAAATACGTAGACAATAGTCAAGTTTTTTTCCCCACAAATACAGGATAATTATCATAAAGTGGTTTGAAAATGAAATTAATAGTTCATGGGTGGCTAAATATGATGATTTGCATACCATAATCATTTTTTTTCTTTTCAGACATCTCGAATCGAATTATTTTACTTAAATTTGTGCACAGGCTGAATTTAGAAAAAAGTGGTCCGGCGAGTCACCAGTGAAAATATGAAAAATATTTTTACTGCACAGTGATTTTTTTTACTGTGAAAATACGAAAAATGAATTTACGCATTTTATATCACAAATATTTCTCAATATTTGATTTACTAGCTTAAAATAATGTCAATATTTTCTAATTAAAACATTTTATTTTGCATATTTAATGGGATATATACTATCAAAACGGTCAAAAGCACTTGACGCCAATTAACAAATTAATATATTTCGAATAGAAAAGTAGTGTTTGATATCTTTGTTTTTAATTGACATCTGTCCAAGTCCACCATGGTATGTTTTTGAGCCTCGACCAATAAATCTTATAAATCGTCCACCGTCGTCTTCGCCAATTTCAAACTGGTTACACTGAAGATTTCGGTGTTCGTCTCTTCCTCGTAGCCCAAATAATTTACATGCGTAGAAAAAGACGGTGTACTGCAAACTTTTAGAATTTTTCATTCCGAAAACACCTTTTTCCCACAATTTCTCTTCGTCTTCGTTAGATACTGGATCAGCTTGTTTCGTTTTTGTGCCAAGTCCCTGGTCCAAAAGGTGTTTCATTTTACTGTCTAAAATTGTTATTAATTCTGCGAACGCAGGGGTTTTTTTTATTTAGAATGTTCTTGTGCACTCCACATTGCGCAAATGCCTCAAAAGTCCACACATGATTAGATATAAAGATTTTGGGGGATACTCCTCTCCTTTCTGGTTCCTAACTTCCATTAAAAACGAATAAGCCAGAAAGATAAAGCCGGTTTTTCCATGATATGTATTTCTGGAATGTTATCTGCCTGTCTATGTTGTCACCATGTTTCAAATATATTAAAAGTCCATTTAGTGCTCTTTGCAGTATTTTTGTTGCGTTTCAAAGACTTCATTTCTTCGATTTCCGTATCCGTAACTTGTTTTCCAAATCTTTCATCGTTAATTTCTGATCTTACAGTTTCAACACATCTGTTTGTTTCCAACTTAAGAACATTCGTCTGAAACCTCGTGCTATTGTTCAAAATCTCTGGATCTTCTAGAAAGTCGAGCGCCAGATCAAAAGACGAATCTCAATCTCTGTCAATGCTATTCTCAAAATCCGAAACCATTTGTGAATAAACCACATTATCACAAATATTTTCTAGTTCAAAATCCAAGGGAATTTGGGAAAGAAAGATATTTTCACTACTGCAATTCAAATCCATTTCGTCAGAACATGCCATGCCTAGCAGTCCACAGTGCATTCACTAAACTGACAATTTGCCCAGACGACAAGGGCGGGGTGTCCGAAAAGGGCGGGGTGTCTGTTATCGTTTTTACGTGGTCGCAGATTGGCTGCTTTTCTATGGGGTTCACAAATTTTGATGACAGGGAATATGATTGTATTTTATTGGCTATGATACAAAACAGAAAGAGCACAGAAACACTCGGCTATCCTATTTATACTCGGGGGCTACACCCCCTCATGCAAATCAGATAACCTCGTGTTTCGGTGCTCTTTCTATTACTTATCCTATTTTAAATTATATTAAAATGGTCAGAAGAAAAGTTTTTTATATTTCTGCCCATTCTGATATTTCTGAATTAAGATTACAGGTTATTGCACAATAATGTAATTACGTTGTGGCTTTTTATTAAACTCTCTGTTCTGATTCAAGTTTTTTTTCTTTTATAGACAATTTTAATGCTCAGTGATGGACACGTATTTATGAAATTTAAAGAAAAAAGGGGAAAAAAAGATTTGCAAAGTATTATTGTTAATAACACTTAAGGATTCTAATTTACCATGACCTATCTGATGTTTTTGTAACTTATTCGTACTCTATAAAAATAAAGTAGATGCCGAAAGTATTTATCTCTGTTAAGGAGTTTGGTTTAGGAAACGCTCAAAGAATTTTTGTCTACCAATAAATATAATTATAGGGAGAGAAATAAGAATCCCTAACGAAAGCCCAACACGGCATAATTGAAAATGTTGCAGACTCGGTTTGATTCAGCCCGTACATGGACGGTACCGTCAACGCCCCCTAGCACTGGCTTAAGCAGAATTCAACAGCTACTATGAAATGGTAGAATTTTTAATTTTGAAACATCCGCAGATGTATTTATATGGCGGTTTTCATGGAACCTTTAATGTCACACGTAAGTGTAATTCCATGAAAAGCGGCATATGGTCCCCAAGTAAAATAATGCGTGTGCCCTTAACGAGAAAACAATGGGCGGAACTAAGAATGTTTTAATTATCTAAACACTATGGGCGTCCTCGGCTGGAAGTTAAGGTCGTTGACTTCAAGCCACTCGCCTGCAGTATGTTCGAATCCCGACATCGACTGTGGATTTTTTCATAAGAGGAAGCTATCCAGCTAATTAACTTAACGTCGTTAGTATTACTATGATACCCCTCCTTGATCAAGATTATTTTGAAACTTGGTGCTTGGGTGTGCATTATTTCATTGGTTTTCGGCGGTGTGGTGAGTCGAAGATTCATTTTTTGATTAAAGGGTCATTGTTTGGACAGTAACTTTTAAAAGAGTTGCATTGCTTTACGTGCTAACGCCACACTGAAACATTTCATGAATGTAAGTGATTATCAGCTCATGCAATTGTGTCTATATTTATAAATATTATTCGCCAATTTTCGACAATATCGACATTAATTAAATGTTTGTATTGGCTACACCGTACTTGCTAGTACTCTTTCACAATGCCGATGTCGCCAGATTCGTATATATGGCTCTATTGCATTTGAATAAATGTAAGTATTTTTTTAACGAAGCTCTTTGAAATATTTCTGTGTTGAGCCAAAGATGATGTAGGCACAATGTAACCTGCAAGGTTATTTGGATCAATATTAACTTTCACTATGCTTTGAATGGTTTCGACACATTATCATAACATGTAGTTAAAAAGCGTTTTATGCCATGTCGAAAAGGTTATTGTTAAAAGTATTAAAAGTATTAACTTTTGTATCTCTTGACACCTTTACAGAACGCTTTTAAAATCATTTATAATATATTGGCAATATACCAGTGATGTAATTCTGAAAATGTAATTATGTATATATACTGTATAGAGTTTCATATTTTGAAAAATGTGCTAAATTCAGACTTCAAACTTGATCATACTTTAGAATCCAGACTGCAATAAGCCTCAATGTTTAAAGATAACCAAATTGTAAACATAAGTTTTGAAAAGTATAAAAATTTTGGAAAAGTATATCAAGCCATAATGTCAAAAGTTAATCAAATTGTTTAAATGTTTTTGAAAAAATAGCATAATTTTAGCGAAAAATAAGTAATCGCAATCTCTTAAAATGTCTTTTTGCACATATATATTTCCATGTACTTTCGTCATTAAATAAGTATTAATGTCAACATTATGTCAAGACATGAAAACATTTATGCAATGAATTGTCTTTAGTTTTACTTTTCCATATTGTTCTTTGGGACTACTTTAATATCATAAAAGAAGTGGAGATATTAGCGGATTAGAAACCGTCAGTAATTTAAATTATAATGAAAAGAATAATGACTTTTAGCCCGTCTTTTTTATTTCAAAATTAAAAATACGATAACGGTCATCGAAGCTATAGTGAAGACAATATTTAAATGACTTTGTATCGTGTATGAAAACGTATACACACTTACATTTATAATAAAGACTGTACTTTGTATGGTTCGTCGTTTCTTATTTTCATATAAATAACTTCTGTGAATATGCATTGAACAAAATCATCATTTACAATAATATTTTTGCCGTATCACTTAAGTTACTGTGGTGACACTATGTTACTAAAATAAAATATGCTACATATTATTACAAGTATTTGGTAAAGCTTATTTCCAATGCGGGTGTTTTCAGTTTGATCGCATGTTACAGAAGTTACATTAAGTGAAAATGAAAAAAGACATTTTTATCCGCTAAAATTATTACTTTACATATGTGATATTCTTAGGTAATGCAAACTTAAGGGATTCGTCTTTTTTTCGCCACATTAGCTTTGTTTGTGGTGTATGGAGGCCGTTAAAAGTCGCCCCGTATATTCAGTCAGAGATGCTATAGTTCCGATCCATAAAGATCGTTCAGCACGACATTTTTGATGCGTGTTTGTGGTATTTTTTAGTTCTTTCTATTTGGCTTTTTTCTCGATGGGTGGTTCCCGTATTCCTCTCTTGAAAACTATTTTATTACCCTTAGGACATGGGGTCTGCTTTATAAATGTGTCTTTTGGCAGCTTGATATGCAGGTTTCATAACCTCTGATCCCTTTTCAAAATTCCTTTTTATTTAGCTCAGCCCATTGTTTTCTCGTTTAGGACACACGCATTCTTTTACTTGGGGACCATACGCTGCTTTTCATGGAATGTTTCAAAAGTGTAACATTGTTTCTGTTAGTTCGAAATTTCACCATTACCATGATTACATGTTGAATTCCGCTTAAGCCCGTGCTAGGGAGCATGGACGGTAGTTTGTACTTGACAGTACCGTCCATGAACAGACTCAATCAACCGAGTCTGCAAATAAATATATTTAAAATGTTAAGCTACCTAATTTGCACCTCGTTCACACTAAGACGTATATAAAACTGCAAAATTAAAGAATTTGCAACAAATCATTAAATATTATAAACCAATATCTGCATGCCCCCATTAGTTTGGAAACCAGCGTGACATGTAAACTTTGTTTCCATACTGAAAACAGGCATGTAATACCTTAACAGCATAGCTCTTGATTTCAAGTTATCTTTAAATATTCTAAATATTGAGCTGTCCTGTGAGAAATATTCATTTCAAGACAGACAATTGCTATAATTGATAGAATACTTCGACTCAAGAAAACAATATTTCGATTTTGATAGATTACTGATTAATCAATAATGAGAAAAACTGAATAAGAATAATCAATAAATACATCTATAGTACACAAACCCGCGATCTGTTCTGATATCTCCTATAAATTAGGTTTGTTTGTACTTAAGCAAAATAAAGCTCATGTTTATGCCATCTCTTGTTTTCAATTATGCCACAAACTGTCACCTTTTACATTACTGTATTTCTCTGTAGTATATGACAAACAACTATTAGTCTGACACAATTTCTATATTAGATTTTCTTCCTTAAATGGGGTTATTGGATTATATGGTGACTTAAGGCCGATTTACTCCAGAAACACGTGCATTTCTCAAAAGATTTTTATGTTTTGTGTCATGTTACAGTTTCCAAAATGTTACACATTTTGGCAATTACCTGGCCATTATTTTTTACTTTTGTTGCAATTTGGCAAATAGTAAAATATAGTGATTCAGAATTTTGAATGGAAGTCACTACTATTACTTTGTTAACATTTTGCTACATTTATGACAAAACATTCCACTTTTTTTCAGGTGATAAGCATGTAAATTCTCTAGAACCAATATCAAGGGGCAGGACGTATATGTTCCAATGTTTAAAAACACAAACGTAATTTGTTCAAGAGCACTTTGGTTGCAAACTATTTATCACGAGGAGTAAGTTGATAAGTATAATTGTTTTCCTAACTTTATATATTTGGTGGATCAATTGGGATGTCGTTGCTTGT